GAGCTGTCTTAAGTCTCTGCCGGATCAACTCGACCTGCTCTGCTGTCTCCTCGATCGTCTTAGGACCGAGTACTCGTCGCTCTCCAACGTCGTCCCAATAGAGAGGGGAACGACACTTGCGACCATAAAGTGCCTCGTAAGGAGCCATCTGAATGGAGGAATGACAACTGTTGTTATACGCGAACTCAGCGTACGACAATAGTGACTCCCACTTGGCACCCCTGTCAACGACCAAGGCGCGAAGCATATCCTCAAGTGTCTGAATCGTCCGCTCTGACTGACCATCTGTCTCCGGATGGTAGGCTGAACTGAACTCAAGCTTCGTGCCCATCGCCTCATGTAAGCTGTGCCAGAATCGGCTGACGAATCTGGGATCTCTGTCTGATACAATCGTGACGGGCACTCCGTGGAGTCGGATGATCCCACGGGTATATATCTCAGCCAACTTGTCCAGAGACATCTTCATCGAAACGGGTAAGAAATGCGCAACCTTCGTCAATCTGTCGACCACGACCCAGATAGCGTCGTGATGTTCAGACGACCTCGGTAATCCCGTAACGAAATCCATAGTGACTTCCTCCCACTTCCACCTCGGAATCGGCAGTGGCTGTAGGAGGCCAATCGGACTCTGATGCTCGGCCTTGACTTGCTGACAGGTAAGACACCTCCTGACGAACTCAGCGACGTCCTTCTTCATGCCTCTCCACCAAAACGACACCTTCAGGTCGTGATACATCTTCGTGCTCCCGGGATGGGCCAAGTAGGGTGCGGTATGTGCCTCTGATAGAATCTCCTTCCGCAACGCCTCGACCTTCGGGACCACGATCCTGCCTCTGAACTCCAAGGCACCATCGGTGCCTAGCTGAAAATCCTGTACACCTCCGGCGCGAACCTTGGCCTCCATGACACGAACAAACTCGTCAGAAGCCTGCTCTCGCCGGATTCTTTCTCTCAGTGTCGGCTGAAGCTGCATAGCACTGACAGTGGCACTGGTACTCCCCGAGACAGCTATGGGAAGTGCATCAATCGCCTGAAGCTGCATCCGGGCAAACTCATGAATCAATGGACTCTGCTGCGTAATGACGTACGTCAGGTCTTCCGTCACCTTTCGGCTTAGGGCATCTGCGACGACGTTCGCCTTCCCCGGATGGTACTGGATAGAACAATCATAATCTTTGACCAATTGGAGCCAACGACGCTGCCTCATATTAAGCTCCTTCTGCGTGAAGATGTACTGTAGGCTCTTATGGTCTGTGAATATCTCGCAGCGTCCGCCGTAAAGTTAATGACGCCAGATCTTTAGGGCGTGAACGACTGCTGCTAACTCCAAGTCGTGCGTAGGATAGTTCTGCTCATGAGGCTTAAGCTGACGTGAAGCATACGCAACGACCCGTCCGTCCTGCATCAAGACACATCCCAAGCCTTGTCTCGATTCATCGCTGAAAATAGTGAAACTCCGAGAAGGATCGGGAATAGTCAACACCGGTGCTGTAGTCAATCTCCTCTTGAGCTCTTGAAAGCTCGCCTCACATCTGTCAGTCCATTCGAACTTCACAGACTTCCTCGTCAGCTGGGATAGGGGGAGGGCGATCTTGGAGAAGCCCTCGATAAACCTGCGATAGTAACCAGCTAATCCGAGAAAACTGCGAACCTCGGACGGACTCCTCGGTGTCGACCAGTTTTGCACAGCTGAAACTTTAGAAGGATCCACCTCGATGCCTGCCTTGGTAATGACATGACCCAGAAAAGATACCCGCTGAAGCCAGAACTCGCATTTGGAGAATTTGGCGTACAACTTCTCTCGTCTGAGGGTTTCAAGGACCACCCTCAGATGCTCCTCATGCTCCTTCTGACTCTTCGAGTAGATGAGAATATCGTCAATAAAGACAATAACGAACTGATCGAGGTATGGATGAAAGATACGATTCATGAGGTCCATAAATACTGCTGGCGCATTGCTGAGACCGAAAGGCATGACAACAAACTTGTAATGGCCGTAACGAGTCCTGAAAGCGGTCTTAGCGATGTCTGACTCCTTAATCTTCAGCTGGTGGTAGCCTGATCGTAAATCGATCTTCGAAAATACACAGGCTCCCCTCAACTGATAAGTCGTCGATCCTGGGAAGCGGGTACTTATTTTTAATCGTCAACCGGTTAAGATCCCGGTAGTCGATACACATACGCATAGATCCGTCCTTCTTTTTAACAAAGAGAACGGGTGCTCCCCACGGTGACACACTCGGTCGGATAAAATCGAGTCGTAACATCTCCTGAATCTGAATCTTAAGCTCTTGTAACTCTTTAGGCGCCATGCGATATGGGGCTTTAGATACTGGACCGGCCCCTGGGATAAGATCAATAGAAAACTCCACCTGACGGTTGGGCGGTCCTCCTGGAAGCTCGTCTGGAAATACGTCCATGAACTCGCGAACGACTGGAACATCATGAGGTGTCCGCGCTTTCTGAGAATCCTCAACAAGGCTCACCAGGTAACCCTGGCAGTTGCCTCGTCGCAATAGCTTAGTGGCTTTCGCCATCGAAACAACATGAGGCAGTGAACGGTTCTTGGAGCCGAAGAAAGTAATCGACTCGTCTTCCGGAAGATAGAGAGTGATCTCCCGGTCATGACATCTGATGTCAGCATGATAAAAGGATAGCCAATCCATCCCGAGAATAAGATCGAAATCCTTCATCTCGAGAACAAACGCGTCGGCAGTCAAAACTCGACCACCGATGGAAAGGCTAAGATCTGAGGCTTTAGCTGAGGTCACTATCTTTCGTCCCGAGGCTAAACTCACCTCGAGAGGATCGACAGCGGTAACTGCGTGAACTCCGATGGCGTCGAGACCCCGTCGTGAAATAAAAGTGTGCGTTGCTCCAGTATCGAATAACGTAAACACAGGAATATCATTGAGAACAACCATCCCGGACATTGTACCTGGTTGCTGTGCTGCCTCCGCCTGATCGACCGCGTAAACCCTGGCCTGCTGCCTGCCCCTCTGCTGCTGCTGAGGCGGCCTCTGTGCCTGCTGTCGTGGCTGCTGAGGCTGCTGCTGGAGTTTCTTCGGGCAACGACTCGCAAAGTGTCCCGGCTCCTGGCAAAAGTAACAGATGTCCTGTCCAGCACGACACTCTCCCCTGTGAAGTCGACCACAAGTCGGGCATGGTGGAATCTGTCTCTGTCGGGTTCTCCAGTCATTCTGTGCACCCTTTCCCTTCCTCTTCTTCTCCTTTGCTGGCTGAGGGGCCGGTAGAGCTGGTGGAACTGCAACTGGCTGAGCTGGGGCGGATGGCTGAGCACGATCACGAACGGCCTCCCTCCTGATGCTAGCGTCTACCTCCTGGGCGATAGAGACTGGTCGTGCATACGTCTGTGTCCCGTGTCCCACGATGTTATGACGAACTGCTGGGTAAAGTCCGTCAATGAACCGCTGAGCTCTCTGGGCCTCCGTGCGAACAAGATCCGGTGCGAAACCTGCAAGCCTGGTGAACTCTCGCTCGTACTCATCTACTGTACGAGTGCCCTGCTGAAGCGCTAAGAACTGGCGCTCCATCTCTGCCTGATAGTAGGAAGGGTAGTACTTGTCACGGACTAGATTCTTGAACATGTCCCATGTACAACCCGCCTTTTCACCGGGACGCATGCTCCAGTAGGCATTCCACCAGAGCCTTGCATCACCAGTGAGCTGAAGCTGAGCGCAAACTACGCGATATCTATCGGGGCATTCCATGACCTCAAAGATGAACTCTAACCCCTGAATCCATTCATCAACGATACGGGGGTCTCCCTGTCCTGAGAACTTCTCTGCGTGATAGTCGCGGAACTGAGCGACTACCGTAGCCTGAGTAGGACCCTGATGATCGGGCTCCCTACGTGGCGGCATCTGAACATTGAGAAAACATTAACATTACTGACTGATTACTTAAGGCACACAGATCTCTTGACGAGTTGCCAAAAGTGGCCGATAAATACTGACATGAAACCTGAAGAACTCTAGAGTCATATAGGAAGATCCTAACGTCTAGAGTCATATCTGAATGCCTGAATTCTAGAGTCATGTCCGAACTCTAAAGTCTAAATCTGATTCGAGCATCTTAACTAAAGTCCTGATCCTCAATTCCGAGCATAGACAAAGTAATATGTTTATAACCGAAAAAACTGAGTTGCACCAGCACTTACCTGTCGTCGGCGGGGCGTGAGCATGACGGTTCGGGTTTTTCTGAAAATTTACTGACTGAAAACTTATCAGAGACGCAGAAACGTGCTCTGATACCAATTGTAACACACCTCCTTACTGTAAAATCAGAGTAGCGCAATAATTCGCAAAGTCTTTGAAAATAAAATATTTTTACTTTGCGAAAACTGATTCGGGGTGCTACCGTGAAATTTCGTGACTTAACTTAAAAACCGTTATTTTAATTTAATAAAAACGTCCGGTTACTGAAAACTTTATTTTCTTAAAAGTTCGTCAGAGTGATGAGTTCGTCAAAATATAAGTACATCAAAAGTCATCAAAAACATCATCACAAGTCATCAAAAGATAAGCGGAAGCGTAAGTCATAATAATATTTATACAGTTTAAAACATATATAAATATCCTAAAAGTCCCGTCATGCCACGTCACGCTCCCGGCCCGACATCCTGACCTGAAAACATGATAAAACTGGGGAGTGAGCACTAAGGCACTGTGCTCCGTGGAAACTCATACTAATGTAAAACATCGTAAATAATAACAATATCATGAACTAAGCATATATAACTGAAATGAATCTGATACCGGTCTGAACTCGCGACATAAGTCACGTAACTGATAACTGATCTCGTGACCGAAGCCACGTAGTGACAGAAGTCACATCTGAACTGAACATCTGCCGGCGAACCGGACACCATGTGCACACTCTAGTGGGCAGACTAGGGCCACTAGAACCAAGAATGGACCGACGACCATTCCGAGCGGATACTGAAAATACATACCTCGAACATGGTAGAGCAATTATAAACAATGTAGTACTTAGTCTGAGTCCCCACCTGAATAGCTGAACTGAAAGGTAGTGTTGATGCCTGTTTAAACTGAAAATAATATAAACAATTACTATTGACTATGCTCAGACTGTTAACTTAACTGATTAATTTCGTTAAGATGCTCTATTTTACTTAATCAGATTTTTAGACTTATCCGGAATAACCGGAACTGACTTATTCTGAACTGGTTTGGACATGAATTTACTGAACTGAATTAATCCCGGAAATTTACTGAAAATGATCTTAAATGATAAACCGGG